AGTCATATTTGTCCTACGAAGTGTTTAAATTATAAAAGTGCTATCGCAAGCAACCAAGAGTTCCTTTTATGTATTATAAAAAGAAAAAAAGAATATGTACAAGAAAGCAACCAAGAGTTACTAAAAGATAAAAAGCTGGGAGAACTACAATGGCAGAAAAAAGGGGCAATCAATTGTCTTCATTTCTAGGCCTGTCGGGCGTGACCTTCTGATCCTCTGGATGATTGTCAACCTTCGGATCATCCACCCGGTATTCAGGGTTGTTCGGCTGATAATCTTCCGAGGGAGGTTCTTGCTTTTCCCATTGCTCGGCCTCTTCAGCCTTAAGCATGGAGACAAGGATGGACTAGTACTCATCCGGGAGGTCAGAGATGTCCATCTCTACGTTCCTCGACCGCAGGCTGTAAATGGCTTGTATTGCCCAATGGGCAGCCAACCTCTCGAGCTCGAGGTTTTGTCGCTTTATCTGTTCGGTTAGTGAAGCAACTCACCCCTGAGACAACTCGAGGTTTGCCTTCATCTCCCTCTTCTGCCTCTCAGAGTTCTCCCACAACTGTGCCCGACTCTCTTCCGTTGCTTTCGCATGATCAGTGCTCACCCTCAGCTCTTTCTCTCACTCGCTCAACTCCTTTGTGAGTCTTGCCACCGTCCGTTGGAACTCTTTATTGTCCCCATCCCTCTCCTCAAGCTTGACCTTCTGAAAGTCCGTAGCCTGAAGTGCAGAATCTCTCTCTTCCAAGTACTGGTCCACCTGGATGCGACTATATGTCAATTTGAAAATTAAAAGGGAAAAACCTACTCGGCTCCCTAAATTTAAAAACATCGTCATACTCGAAGAAGAAATATTTTGTGTCCTAAGCCCCAACGTTGCAGGGGTAACCAAATATCCCTCCCTCGATCGTAGATCGCTTCGAGAGGTAGAAGGAATCTTTGTTCTTGCTTTTCTTTAGTATGTAGGGGCATGCAAGTACCAGCACTGTTAATTCACTGAGTTCGTGTTCATGGCATGCTATATACATAGTAATTGCAATCAAGTACGCGTTGGGCATTAGTTGGAACGGCGTGACCTCGAAGTGGTCGAGGATTGATCTAATAAAGGGGTGAAAAGGTATCATCACCCCGCATTTAAGGATTGCCTCTGAGATCCCAGCCATTCCCTATGGAGGGTCCTGAGCGGTGTGCGATCTATGTTGGTAGACGTTTATGTTGATCGCAAACCGGTCTACCACTTTCTGGATCTCATCTGCAGTGGCTGCTGATTGCATCGCCTGTACAAGGCCCGTCGAGGTGCTTGAGGGCTGCAAACTAGTTCCTTCAGTTGCTCACATATCCGAAGCTTCCATTGCTCCTAAAGTCTGAAAAGGTACAGAATGTAGAGGTGACTCAGTCTTCGTACATAGTGTGTCGTACGACAACTTAGAAGAGTAAAAAAAACCTTAATTTTCCCTTCTTAACTCCTAAAACCCTGAACATCCTTAAGAACTAGTTCCCAAGGATTTGTGCCCTAGGTTTTTGATTCTTGAGGGTGTCTCCTTTTTGAACACCACCCTAGAATGTGCATCATGTAAGTTTACCAGGCGTTCAAGCCCACCATTGCTGTGAAAGAACCAAGCTTTTAACAAGAATGAAAGGAAGACAGGGAAGAGTTTTCCTTACCTCCTGGTTGCTGGGAACGAATGCTCTGTCATAATGGCGAGTGTGCATCAACTGGAAAATGGATGAACTAATTTCTTGAGTGTGTAGTCTCTGTTCTTCTCTCTGAAGATTCAAATTCTGTGAAAATTTTGAAGTAGGCTTAGGGTTTTATAGGGAAAACGGTGACGCTTGGTTTCCTTCACAAGTGACGTTTAGGCAGGGCACGTTCCAACCATTGGATGCGACCATATGTTGCCAATCGTCGTGAAGAGTAACCTTCATGCTTTGTGAAGATCAATCGATGTTTCCCTCCGTTGAAAATACCGAACATCGGCGTGGTTATCTTCACCCTATTAAATGCGCCCTTATCAGCATTTAATGCCTCAAAAGAGAATGTCGTTTCAACATGGCTTGCATTTAATGCTCATGGCTGACACTTATTGCACAAAGACATGTCTGTCAGATAAATCTTACTTTATTGACTAGGCCAACTATTAGGTGCAACGGATAACATCGGAAGAGGTCGTTTGAGTAAAACACCCTTCTCTATGTATTAAGCTTGAAGCGAAGTGACTTTTGATTTCTGGCAAAAGTACTCTTAAGTGTTTTCAGGTCGCGAGCGATGGGCAAAGTTCCAAGGATGTTGGTATAGCACTGAGCAGGATCCGATCCCAGGTCACTAAACCTTTGGGGGACGATCATATCAGGTCGCTTGTGCAACTAGCAAAGCTTTGCATCGCAACCTTCATTCAATTCATTGGTTGAGTTAAGTCATGTGCTTCATGTTACCTCGGCCAATCTCCATCAAAAGTTTGAGCGAGCGATCCTTAGAACAAGTCAAATCATGGCATAATCATGAAGTTCTCAAAGTTCAAGCCTTGAACCTTAAGAACTGGGGGGCTTCTGTTATGCCTAAAAAATTAAGGCTGATGTAGGCTCACATTAGCGAGGATTAATCAGAGTTCAGGAAGGCATTGTGCCGTCCAGGCATTGCCATGTCGTCCAAGGACAAAAGGATTAAGGTTGTCATCAACTTGGCAAGTAAGGGTATTGCTAGTGAATAGATGGGAGTCATCCACTTGCCCGATCCCTACGCGATTCAAGGATATCCACTGTGCAGCTAGCCAATAAGAAGTAAGGTAGGAGCTGTACGGTACCTACCCATTGGCTGACCCATAATCATTGTCCAGGAACCTCTTACTCTAAATAGAGAGCTCCCCTCTCTTCATCCGGATTGGGCTTTTGATAATATAAACACTCTCTCTCCCTCTCTATATTTCTATTCTTTCAGATCGCTACTTGCGATCTGATTGTAACCTTTCATTTATAAAAAGATAATAGATGTAGGAATCGCTTTGAGTGTTCGAACTACTTTAAAAATCATCTTTCTTATTTATTTATTTATTTCTAGTTCATGTATACTTTCTAAGTCTGCTTAGCACTTTACATGTGCGAATAGTTGGTGTCAAAATCCAGCATCAACAGCTTGAAATCCTAATTCTAAGTATATTATATTGTTCTCAACAATATATATTTCCAACTTTTTTCGGATAAATCATATAAATTTTACGTATCAAATTCTTTTATCAATTAACTTTATAGTAATTAAATAACCTTATTTAAACTTCTTTAGAGTTTGTGCATTCCTTGAAGCTTAATTAGTGAAGTTTCTCGACAACTTTAATTCATCTCCATGTTACAGCAGTTCAATATTGCCTGCCCAAGATCTAGGTTATATACAGGAAACTTTCCATATACATAAAACAAACTTTCTACATACCAAAAAATAAAATAATAATAATAATAAATTAATTAATTAATGATATTGTACAACTAGGAAGTTAATTTTCTGGTCATCCCTAATGATGCAACACTATCAAAGAAATTTGTATGCCTAAAAAACCAGGGCTGATGTAAGCTTACGTCAGCAAGCACTAATCAGAGTTCAGGAAGACTTTGTGGGTCTAGGTGCTGCCACGTCAACCCAAGACAGAAAGAATACAACTATCATCAACTTAGCAAATTTAGGTTTTGTCTATGAGTGACTAAGGACCACACACCTGTCCAAGCCCTAGATAATTTGAGGATATTTCCTAAGTTATCAGCCAATGGGAGGCAAGGAAGGATTTGCACGGCACCTACCCACTTGTAGATTTGTAATCATTACCTTGAATTCGGCTACTATAAATAGGGACTCCTCCTCTCATTTTCGGGATCCTGAACCCTCATTTTGATTTTGATTATATTCTTTATTTTTAAAGCAAAGATAACCTACGAGAAAGAGACTAACCTGATATTCTCTCTAAATACTCAATTATTGTACCTCTGCTCGTTGTTCACTATATGCGACCTCTTGTAAACTCTCATATATAAAAGGAACAATGGACGTAGGAATAGTTTTAAGCATTTGAACCACTTTAAAAATCATTTCTCATTTACTATTCAGTCTTTGCATTCAATTATATTGATTAGCTCTTGAATCAATCATATCATGTGTAATTTCTAAGAATAACTTAGCACTTTGCACGTGCTAGTCGTTGGTGTCAAAATCACGCATCAACAAAATTTCCACATTTTATTGATTGATGGTGATTAAGGTAATGCGAAATGAGAATGCATTTAAACCAATAAATAATTAGAATTATAAACTATGCATTCCATTTTTGGAAAATTAGGCTCATGAAACTATACTACACTCATGAATGAAGGATCTCATTGACTTTAGGTCTCCCTGAAGTTTCCGGGCAACTGTCAATTCATCCCCTTGTTAAACAAGCTTCATTCCATCCCTTTGCTAAGGAAATAATGAAAATGAAGTCTGAAATCAACAAGATTCCGATAGATACTAAGAATTTGAAACTTCAAAGCACTTACTTGGTCAAAACAAGTCTCTTTCTCTTTGTATCTTTACAATTTTTTTCTTACAATTTATCTCTCTACATAGTGATAGAAAATAAGAGCTATAAACAGGTTATAGAGGGTGTCTGTGAATAGAGTTTATATACATTTTGGGTTCTTTGGTTCCAAAAGTTGAGATCAGTTTCTTGAGTGTTGCCAAAACAAAGGTATGTTTTATTTATACGTATGTTATAAATATGTTTATAAGAGTATGCGTCTACTATCCATTATTTATGCTGATGATCCTATATTTTGTGGTCTTTTTCTATTTTCTATTTTTTTTCTTTGAGATAAGTAACTACATATTCCTGAGTTCAATCATTAAAACTTCTGCCTTTTATAATGATCATTTATGCACATAAAGTTGATAAATCCTTTTCTTTCAGTTATTTAGATATGCAAATCAAGAAGACATGATTGGTTATATTATATAAATATTTAGATTGTTTCAGGACCTTGCTGTAAAAATGGGGAGAGGAAAAACAGAGATCAAGAGGATTGAAAACACAAGGAATAGTCAAGTATCCTTCTGCAAGAGGAGAAATGGCTTAAAGAAGAAAGCCAATGAACTTTCTATACTTTATGAAGCCGAAGTGGCCCTCATCGTCTTCTGTAGTCGTGGTCGCCTCTTTGAGTACTCAAACAGCAAGTAATGTTCTCTTTTAATCTATTGATGATCAAAATTTTCACACATCTCAAGTTTTGGTGTCAAATAACTGAGTTCACACTGAAATCATATTTTTCCTTATATATTGAAGAAATTATTTCTGAATTTGACTTTTGTATGATCAAGAGTTGTTGCGGGTGACCTTGAGTTCTATACGTTAAAATTGACATTGCACTTGTCTTGAGCTAAGAGAAAGTCAACAAAGAAGGGCGAATTTTTTTTCTTTGCTTTGACTACTATCTAGGGCCCTTTGATGTTTAAGATTTCTTTGTAAAACCCTTTTTACATAGAAATTACAGTTTCCTTAATTACTACGTTAAACCAAACATTGCATGTTGGGAAGATAATTTTTTTTTTTTTTTTTGTCTGACTTTATGATTTTAGAAGAAAATTAATCACTTCATATTTAACTTCAGTTAATAAATTTTTGATTAGTTACAGGGTTATCGCATTAAATATCTTGAATCATCTAAATAAGCATTTTGTCTTTCTTAAAGAGATTCATAAATATTTTTTCAATTTTTATATGATAACCAATGAGGGAAGAGGAAGTTAGCCGGGTAAATTTCGAGCGTGACCACCCCTATTAGTGATTCAGATGGATCAAACTCAGAATCTCTTGAATAATACACCTAAAAGTCTTAATTGACCATTGACTACTCAGTGGTGGTTATTCTTTATTATCATTTCATTGTTTCTATTGAATGAGTGCAGCATAAGTTCAACCATAGAGAGGTATAAGAAGGAGTCCCCTTTATTAGAAAATTTAAGTAGGAGTATATTTTTTTTAAAGGCTAAAACGAATTTCTGATAATAGTGTGACTCCCGACCTAGATAAAGTCTTCGCTACTTTTGTTTTTTTTACTATGACCATTTCATTAATTAGCAATTGAAGTATATGATTTTGTTCTCTTAGTTCATTAATTATCCCTTATGTTTTTTTCAGCAGTACGTAGCTAAGAATGTACTTAAATTTTGCATATGATATTAATAACTAAAATTTTGGGTTTAGAGATAAACAATACTTGGTATAAATTACTTCCATTCACAAAATTATGTAGTCATTTTCAAGCAATTATTGACGGACAAGGAATTTCGGTTAAGGGGCAACCATAAAAGCTTTTATAAATGAATTTTTTTTTTTTTTTTGGTAAACATTGACGATATAATTAATTTTTTTGGCAAACCTCGATTGTGTGAAGAAATTTATAAGCACAAGTTAAGAAGATTACAATTAACGAAAAGTTCTTCGTAAAAGTTATAATTTTTCAAATTACGTGCCCCCTTACCTATAACATGGGCCTGTCTCTGTTTTCAAGGGTTACGTAGATCGGTTACCTTGTTTTTCAATACTATAAAATTTAACTTAATGATAACAATTTTTGTTCTTCTGTTTTATGTTGTCGATGAATACAGTATTATCAAGAGGAATCAGCTAAACTGCGACAACAAATTCAAATGTTAGAGACCTCCAACAGGTTGGATTTATTCTTAATGATGTACTAAAGACGGTCCAAAAGAAATTAAACATGAATTTCAATTTTAACATTGGAAAGTGTTTTTATATGTTATTAATTGTTTTCCTAGCCAATTAATGATGATAAACTTCAATCTGAGTAAATACATGGAGTTTTTCTCAAACTAAAAGATTCAAATATGTAAATTTTTTTTTTAATTTCTAAGCACTAGTTCAAATGGGAAATCTTGCTTAGATTAATTGATATATTGCAATATTTGCGTTGTAGGCACCTATTGGGTGATTCCTTGAGTACTTTAACAGCTAAGGAGCTAGAAGAACTGAACAAGAAGCTTAAAGGAAGCCTTAAAAGAATCAGGTCAAAGAAGGTAACCTTTTTTTTTTTAAAGGAAATCTGAGGGGAAATTGTTGAATCATTAAAAGCAAATATGAGATTTTCAATCTCATCTAAGACATAACCATTGCCTTAATCTTATCTCCTATACTTATATATAGTGATTTAATTTGTTGCTTCTTTTTTCTCGTTTTTGCGACAGCATGAAATGTTGCAAGCTGAAATTGAGCAGTTCTATAGAAGGGTATGTATTACCAGATGCCTTCTATTTTTCTTTCCTATTAACCATATTTCTTATCAGTATCATCAATTCCTAACACTTTACAACCTTCACGTCTCATAATGCATGCAAAAATGACCATTTTACCCTTTTATTGATAAAATCCTTTTAAGGGTAGAATTACATACCTTATATCATCGGAACACTTACGCAGGGGTTTACAATCCTCCCCTCCTTATAAGAATTTCGTCCTCGAAATTTAATTGAAGAGATCTGGATACGTTTCTTTCATGTTTTGCTCGACCTCCCATGTTGCTTTTTCAACATTATGATTCCTCCACAATACTTTAACAAGTGGTACATTCTTGTTTCAGAGTTCCTTAATTTTTCTATCCAAAATTTGAACTGGATATTCTTCGTAAATTAGGTCATCTTTTAGTTCCACTTCTTCTGCTTGAAGTATGTGAGAAGGATCATGAATATACTTTCGCAACAAGGAAACATGGAACACATTATGTATCTGGTCCATACTGACTGGTAATGCAAGTCTATACGCCATCTTGCCAACTTTCTCTAACACTTCAAATGGACCGATGTATCTAGAAGCAAGCTTTCCTTTCCTTCCAAATCTCATCACTTTCTTATACGGAGAGATTTTCACAAACACTTTGTCTCCTTCTTGGAACTCTATATCTTTTCTTTTCGGGTCTGCATAGCTCTTCTGTCTGTCTTGGGACTGCTTCATTCTCTCTCGGATTAACTTTACATCTTCTATCATTTTTTGTGTCATTTTTGGACCAAGAGCTTGAGCTAATGCATTCTTTTCTCCTATTTCGTCCCAATGTAACGAAGATCTACATTTCCTTCCATACAAGGCTTCATATGGTGCCATTTTAATGGTTGCTTGATAACTATTGTTATAAGCGAATTCAACTAGAGGGAGAATGTCACACCAATTCACTTGTGATCCATACAGCAAGCCCATAACATATCCTCCAATATTTGATTCGTTCTTTCTATCTGTCTTTCCGTCTGAGGATGATAGGCTATGCTGAAATTAAGCCTAGTACCCAATGCCTTCTGTATGCTACTCCAGAATACTGATATACATTTTACGTCCCTGTCTGAGACAATAGTACTAGGTACTCCATGTAATCTTACTATTTCTTTAACATATAATCGGCCCAACTGATCAGAGGAGATCTTGTCTGTAACTGGAATGAAATAAGCAGATTTAGTCAATCTATCTACAATCACTCAAATGGTATTATAACCCTTTTGCACTCTAGGAAGACCTAAAATGAAATCCATAGAAATATCTTCCCATTTCCACGGAGGAATACTAAAGGGTTGCAATAGTCCTGAGGGGCGCTGATGTTCTGCTTTAACCTGTTGCACACCAAGCATCTAGTAGCATACTCAGTTACATCTTTCTTTAACCCTGGCCACCAATAACTCTTCCTTAAATCCTGATACATCTTTACACTTCCTAGATGAGCAGTATAAAAAGTACTATGTGCTTCCTCTAAAATCTTCTTTCTCAATTCAATATCTTGAGGAACATACACTTTATCTCTAAATTTCAGGATTCCATTCACCCATTTGAATTCTAATTCTCTGCCATCTTTCAATTGCTACTCAATTCCATTACTAAACCCATCATCTGCTTGTTTTTCTCTAATTTCCTCCAATAACTTAGACCGAACTTCAATTTTGGACAATTTCCCAATCTCCAACTCTATCCCCTCCTTCATTATCTCTTGTTGCAGGTGCTTTTGAAAAGTTAGCTGAGCTAAGGAGACTTTCCTGTTGAGGGCATCTGCAACTACATTAGCTTTCCCTGGCTGATACCTAATATCACATTCATAGTCCTTCACCAGCTCAAGCCATCTTCTTTGTCTCATATTCATTCTTTCTGGGTGAAAAAGTATTTTAGACTTTTGTGATCTATGTAAATATTACATTTCACCCTAAAGAGATAATATCTCCAGATCTTCAAAGCAAAAACTATAGCTACTAATTCGAGGTCATGAGTGGGATACCTCTTTTCATAGTCTTTCAGCTGATGAGAGGCATAAGCAATCACCCTGCCTTTTTGCATCAATACCGCCCCCAAACCATTATGAGAAGCATCAGTATAAATATCATAATCTACTCCATCCTTAAGAAGAGTTAAAACAAGAGCAGTAGTTAATCTTCTTCTTAATTCTTGGAAACTCTTCTCACAGGTTTCAGTCCATCTGAACGGGCTTCCTTTTTTGTCAGAGCTGTGAGTGGAGAAGCTAATTTAGCAAAGCCTTCCACAAATTTCCTATAATACCTTGCTAACCCAAGAAAACTTCTAACTTCTTTTACAGTCTTTGGTCTTGGCCATTCAATTACTACTTCAATCTTACTAGGGTCCACTGAAATACCCTTTTGTGAAACAACATGTCCCAAGAATGCTACTTGATCCAACCAAAACTCACATTTGGAGAACTTAGCATATAACTTTTTCTCCCTTAATATTTGTAACACAAATCTCAAATGCTCTTCATGATCTTCCTTTCTTTTGGAATAGACTAGGATGTCATCTATAAAAATTACCAGAAATTTATCCAGACAATCATGGAAAATCCTATTCATTAAATCCATGAACACCACTGGTGCATTAGTCAATCCAAATGGCATCACTATAAGTTCATAATGCCCGTACCTGGTTTGGAATGCAGTTTTGGAATATCCTTGTCAGCGACCCTCACTTGATGGTAGCCTGATCGAAGATCAATCTTGGAAAACATCAAAGCTCCCTTTAACTGATCAAACAAGTCATCAATTCTTGGCAATGGATACTTGTTTTTCACTGTCATCTTATTGAGCTCCCTGTAATCAATACACATTCTCATCAAACCATCTTTTTTCTTGATAAATAAAATAGGAGCTCCCCATGGAGAATGACTGGGTCGAATGAATCCTTTATCCAACAACTTCTGAAGCTGCTTCTTTAACTCTTGTAACTCTGCTGAAGCCATTCTATACGGGGCTTTAGATATTGGTGCTATACTAGGAGCTAACTCTATACAAAACTCCACTTCCCTTTTTGGAGGAAGTCCTAAGAAATCTTCTGGAGATACATCTTTGAATTCTCGTACTATGGGTACATCCCGAACACTAAAGTCAGGAAACTTTTCTTTATTCACAACATTAGCTATGTACCTTGTACAACCCTTCCTTATCATTTTCATTGCCTTCACTGAACTTATCATCAGGCTGTGTAGATAACCTTCCCCAAAGGTGAATTTGTCTCCAGCATTTAAATTAAACCTGGCCTTCTTCTTTCGATAGTCTATCAATACTCCATATTTGCTCAGGAAGTCCATTCCCAAAATCATATCAAAATTAGGCATATCAAAAACAGTCAAATCAACATTCAACTCATGCCTATCAATCACTATAGTTTCCCCCATTAACAACTTATTAACAACATAATTCTCCCTTTTAGGCATCTCAATTTTAACAGCATGTTCCACTTTACAAGGCTCTAAACCTAATCTTTTTATAATACCATATAAGATAAAAGAATGGGTAGCCCCAGAATCAATCAGTACATATAAAGAGGTAGAGTGGAACTGTAACTGACCAATAACTACAGATGGATTGGCTTCAGCTTCTTTCTGAGCCACTGAGTAAACTCTGGTAGTCGAACCTTCAACAGTCTGAAGGGAAGTAGCTTGAGTAACTTTACAATCCTTCGCCATATGTCCCGGTTGTTTACATTTGAAACACACATTGGTCCCCAATAGACAATCCCCTTTATGCTGCCTCCCACATTTTTGACAGTAGGGAAGATTATTCTTTCTCTGTTGTTGCTGTGGAGTCCTCTTATTCTTGCCGCCCTTCTTTTGAAATCTTTGTTGAAACTTTCTTTTACCTTTGTCCTCCGAAGCTTGAGCGGAATTCACGACTTCAACTTTTTGAACTATTGTCTGGCCCGAACTAGAACTACTAATCACCAACTTGGGGTTCTCCATCCACTTCTCCTTATTCATATAAATCTCTACTCTCAATGCTTGTTCCAGGGCCTCACTATAAGTTTGGGGAGGCTGACCACCTGCTATAACAATCTGGGCAACTTTTGGGTGCAACCCATTAACAAATCTCTCTAACCGGCACTGTTGAGTACTCACCATAGTAGGAGCAAAACGGGCTAGGGAGTTGAACATTGTAGCATACTCTCTAACAGTCATATTACCCTGCTTCAATTCTGTGAACTCTTGAGTCTTTACGGATAACATGTCCGCCAACCGGTATTCTACTTCAAATAGCCTTTTGAATTCATTCCAAGAAAGGGCACTGGTCACATGTGTATGCTCTATTAGCTTCCACCATACCCGGGCATCTCCTCTCAACAAATAAGAAGCATGGCAAACTTTTTCCTGGTCACTCATGGGAAACAAGGCCATTGCCCATTCGACAGCCTCCAACCACTCCTCTGTCACCGTCAGATCATTTGAACCATTAAACTCCGAAGGTTGGTGCTTTTGAGAAAGATTATAGATTGGTTCCACTTGACCAGAAGGTGTAGCACCCATCGGCATAACTGGTCTAGTTACTGGAGGTGGAACTGGTATTTGGAGTTGAGGCTAAACTACTAGAACTGAGAGATTTGCGTTCACCTGGTTATTTATACTTTCCAGGGTAACCCTCCTAAAGGCCTCACTAATGGCTGCCTGAATCATCCTGTTGATTGCAGCCTTATCCAAAATAGAAGCATTTTGAATAGAAGTATCTGGTCCTCTATTAGGGGGTGCATTGGCAGTCGATGCTATTAGCTCACTAGTGCTTGCTTCATTAACATTCTCCTCGCCCCTCCTATTAACCTTTCGTGAACACCTTGTAGCCATACCCTTTACTCACACAAATTTCAATCAACATTAGCTAATTCTATTCACTAAGCAAGTAAAGAAAATACTTACAGCAATCAGCTGGAGAGAGTATCTTGGGGATGCATGAGGAATGATACTTCCATTACTTACAAACACCATTTGATGTAGAGAGTATCTTGGGGATGCATGAGGAATGATACTTCCATTACTTACAAACACCATTTCCAACATCAATTAAATATTAAATAACCATAACAATTAAATCAAAACATCATTTAGAACACCCAAAATCGTGCTCTGATACCAGCAGTAAAACCTCTCCCTAGCCGGGTATTTCCTAAGTATCCCTTGGCCGTTGAGAACCTAGAAAAGACACGCTTAAGAAATGAGTTTGTTTTAAAACCTATTCTTTTGTCTATTTTGTCTTTGTGTGTGTGATTTGTTTTTTTTTTTTTTTTTTTTTTAAAGCATGATATTAAACATCCCAATCCCATATCCATAAAATGATTCAAGAAATTAGCTTACAGAGTTATTATCATAAGTATATAATATCATTTAACCTTTTTCATTCATTGACAAGGAAATGGTCATACTACGTTTATTAAAAAATATTTACTTCAACATCATAAACCAAAAACCATTTGATTTTATTTTACAAAAAAATTCAAACATAGCAAAAGCATTCCTTCATTTGCATGTCATTTCCCAGTAGCCTCTCCCAGCTTCAAGCTTTAATTCTTACCTACAAAAAAATTTAAAAAAATTTCGTGGGGTGAGCGCTAATTGTCAGTAGGGAATATGGCCTTTCAATAAACTATTAAGGTTCATTATCAAGCATATTACTCAGGACCTTACCTTTACCTACCTACAAGACATAACCTTATTCATTGACATTATCAAGTTCATAAAACATATATATGCTTTGGACTTTCCTCTAAACATAAGTCATAACATAACCATACATAATCTAACATAGAACATATGACTTATGTAATATTCATGAACAGGCATGCCTATTTCTTTTGTCTTTGTACTTGATGTTTTCATTGTCTTTATTATCGATCGGATTCATTTGAACCATTACCTTGTTCTTGGTCGCACCTCAAAGGACTCATGGTTTCCACAAGAATTCCATTATCTGATCTTGGTTTATACCTCAAAGACTCAGGATTCACCTTAACATTCATAATTTTTTTCATAAGTCAACTAAATAAGCTATATGCATTACCATTATGAATGCAAACAGACGGATAACATCTCCATGCTCAATCATACTATGCATTCATTTAACATGTACCCTTGGCCAATGCACAACTCATCAATCAATTTAGCAAAAATCCATGACATGAATATTCTCCTACTAATCCTTAACTTAATTCATTCAATTTTCATACAACACAAGGAATTTCAATAGTAAGATTATTTAGGGGTTTATTAGAATTATAAAAAAAATGGGAATTCTATTAGGAGGTGGATGCATATAGTTCGTCACTTTTCAAGCAATTTTCCCCTCATCTTCCAATTCGAATTGATTTTTGATTAAAACATAAAAGTTTTAGGTCTATTTCTCAATGTTTTAACACTTAAGAATCAGTCAAACGACTTTTATAACTTTGTTATGACCGATTCAGTGAAGCATGACAGATAAGTCTTAAAAGCAAATCCGAATTCTATTCTTTTAACCATGTCACCTTCATTTGCACATTATATATTTGCCATCATTCTAAATATAAAAGGCCATAAAAACCTCCCTTTTTACAGAACCAAAAGTGCCAAAACATCGTCCAACTACAAATCTCTAATTGCATAATCATCCTCCATATGCAACATACACCAATCAACACACCATAAACAATCTATAACCAAAACATAGCATCACACTCAATTAACATAAATAAATGTAAGTTTCATCAACCCTAGGTGTAACAAGTGTAGTCATAAGGGAAATTTTTTTTTTCCTTACTTAGTATTCAAATCACAAAGAACTCCTCCTTAGCTCCAAGGTTCACCCTTTCTACCTACACACATAACCACTTATGAATTTTGTTTTAACTAAAAATCAGAACAACTAGGGTTTTGAAACTCACCTTAAACCCTGAAATTGAAGTTCTTTAAGTGTGGATGGTGATTTCCTTTGAAACCCAACTTGAATCTATGAAAATTTTGAGAGAGAGAGAGCTTGAATTTAAGCTTTAATGGAGGAGAACGAGACTTAAAGAGAGAGTTTGTGTTCTAAGAGTGTTGGCCGACTTAACCAAGGAAAATCTTATAAATATTCATTTTTTTAATTCCCAAGGGATTGACCTCAAAAGTTAGAGATATGGGTCATTTGGTATAAATTTTGCATATAAGGCATTTGTTCATTTCCACTACAACATAATTATTACACTCCTTATTGCATTTGACTTCTCTTTCTACTTGGTGACCAATTGAATCCATAAGAAATAACTAATTTACCCATATACACTTTTATGGATACTTGATTCCTATAAATTATTGTGAAAAGACCATTGTACCCCTTGGGAACTATTTATGCCGTTGAACCCTATAACCTCTTTCATGACCTTTAACCATATTTGTTATCAGTATCATCAATTCCTAACACTTTACAACCTTCCCACAGCTCATAATTGTTAGAGTCATGAAAGTGACTCTATTTTGGTGATAAAAATACCCCATGTGTGATTAAATTGAAGTATATTGAGATAATTAAAGAATTTATGAATTTATTCACGAAAATCGCTTCCTAATATTTTTCTTATGAATTTAACGTGTTTGGAATGATTTTGGAAAGTATATGAGTTGATATTAGGTTGTGCTTTATGGATTAAGAGTGTTTTTGTCTCATTTATGCTATTTAGGAGGTAAAATGTCATGTTTTAAGGGGCTGATTTTGTCACTTTTCAATTGTGTAGGGACCAAATTGATATTTTGCAATTTGTTCTATAAAACAAAAATGCAGTTTGCGTGAACAAGGGGCTGTTCATCTATAACGTTTTTCGACGACCCTTCGTCTTCCATTTCTGGCGACCTCCGGTGACTCTTCGACTTCCTCGTGCACAGATCGTCGTCATCCCATCGTCCCGGACCACCACGGCGAATCATCACACAGCCGCGATGATTCGTCTTCCACCACCGCGACGTTTCATCTTCCTGGCTAGTTTTGGCCATTTTTCGACGACGTTCTAGCTCCCCAAGGGTCGATCTCCCTTCCCCACAGCCGGATCTACATTTCCCTAGCTTCAGTCGCCGCGAAAACCGTTGAAATCCGCGATTTTGCCGCCGCGCCTGTTCATCTTCCAGGCCGGATCCTGCTCATTTCCGACAACTTCTCACCTCCCCAAGACCTGATCTAAACTCCCCATCACCAGAGCTTTCCATTGGTACCTTCGGATCCCATTTCCGCCACCGTTTTCTGGAAGACCTGTCGAAAAATTAACGTTTTCCGACGAAGTGTGGCTGTTCGTATTTCGGGCTGTCCGTTGGTCGTTTTTGCCCCTTCTTCGCATCATATCGCTGTCGATTACCTCCTCTCCGCCATGGTCAGCTTTGTTTCCACCGTTTCGGCCTCCGTCATCACCACCATGAGCGGCTAAGCTCCCGGTTGTCTGTTACGGCATAGGCGAGATCGGGATTGACTCCACGACTCTCCTCATCAGCTCTCGACTAGTTGGATGAGCCCGATTATAGGACATTTGGTAGTATTTTGCTTCAGATTATATTTGTTTTCGTTTCATGATTGATTTCGATACTTTAATATGATTTGAGCATAACTTGTGATGAATATTGTTGTCCATTATGATTTAATGTTTTCATAGAACTTGCTGAATGATAAACGTTGGTTTGGAATAATTAAATGATAAATATTGCTTTTCATTACTTTGCATCGATTGTAATTGAGTTGTGTTCGGATTTAATTTAATTTCTACTATTGTTGCGTTTATTGTGAAGTTGGTTGATTGGATATTACATGTTGACAAATTGTATTTGTTAATCGCATACCAACTAGTGGTATTGCCTTGTAGCGTTTATCGACGTTCAATGATAGTCTTTAACTAATCGAACTTGAGTGATCGGATGAGACAGGATAGATTATACCTAGAGTGTCGGGAAGCCATTTCATTGATTTACCTTGCCTTGTAGGTTTAGGGGATCGTAAAGGGTGGAGGAGAATTGTGTAAGTCGATCTTGTGTCGAACCAAAACCGTAACGGCAACATTTTTATTATAAAGTCTTTATTTGTTTTAATTTCACTATTTCATTATTTGCATTTAGTCTATTTAGTTTCATCAATCATTTTGCCAATTTCATTTCCGCTACTTAAAATACATTAGGTTGTTAGTCTTGCTCCCTGTGGATTCGATCCTACTTATCGCTAACCATGGTATTTAGGTTTTATTTTTAGACCATGACGATTGGTCTAACAATAATGCATGCAAAAATGACCATTTTACCCTTTAATTGATAAAATCCTTTTAAGGGTAGAATTACATACCTTATAGCATCGGAATGCTTACGCGGGGGTTTATAGCCGCTCACGACCAAAATACTTTATCAATAAAAGAGGTATTGTTCATAATCTTCCTTTTTTTGTCATTAACATTTTTTTACTTGTTTAGCACACTTGTTACTCATCACTTCAAAAATCGTGAACTATGGGATGACATTTAAGAACTCGGAGTCAAGAGTACGAAAAAAGGCAACTT